ATCTATCTATCTATCTATCTATCTATCTATCTATCTATCTATCTATCCGTCTATCCGTCTGTCTGTTTGTCTGTCTGTCTAATAGGGGTGTAACAATACATGTATTCGTATTGAACCGTTCGATTTGAGGCTCACGGTTCGGTATGCATTACGAACCGAACAATATGTTTGAATAATACTATTGCATTTGGAAAATACAGAAGCTTAAATTGTGGGAAATATAATGCGCTCAACAAGGCAAACCACCCGACGTAACAGGCAACGAGCTGTCTGACACTCCCACCACGGAAGAACAACATTCTACTCCGGTGAGGCACGTCTGTTCTGGGAGGCACGCTATGCTAAACTAGCTGACCAGGTAAACCAACAGCAGCACCCATGCTACAAACTCTCCCCGCAGCATTTAGTTAGCTGTTCCCTACTGATTCGAACAGGGCTAAAGGTATATTTATAGCCGCGGATATGAGACCCTACTCTGAAAACCAGGCTGTACGAACATGCTTAATGTTATTGAGCCCCGTGACACTACTCATTCACGAGCCCATTTCCCAGACCAAAATTCCTGCTTTGTTAAAGAAAACAAAAGCCTAAACAGAGAATCAAATGTCCGGCACCTGCTGTTGCTCTGTCAACAGATGGCTGGACATCACGGACTACACAAAGCTACCTGACTGTACGACACAAATAGGTCGAAGTCAGTCAGTCTGTCTGTCTGTCTGTCTATCCATCCATCCATCCATCCATCCATCCAGCCATCCATCCATCCATCCATATTAAAGCAGCATTTTTTTGTAACTGCAGTTTCTTTTGCTTGAATAATCTCTTTGGACAGCATATATTTCATTTGACAGACAGGACAAATTGTCCACTATCATTCTGGCACATCCTCAAAGCTGGATGCATTTCTACTAGAGCTGTACTTAAATTCTGTTACTTCACTTGATTGTTAGCATTTCAAGATACTTTATACTGTGATTTATTTGCCAACTGTTTGTGATAATTTAGCGGATACAGTTTTATATTCAAAGCGATAATGGCAATGCTAGTCTGTTGGTCCCATATAGTGGTCGAGGTTGAAATATTTCTAAAAATTATTGATGGATTTTCATTAAATTTGTGCAGACATTCATGGTCCCCATAAGATGAATCCAGCATCATCAGGTCAAAACTTAAATTTGTCCAATACCTGCATATTGTAGGGCTGGGCCATTATTCAATATGATCATTTATCGTCAATCAATTGTATCATATTTTGATGAAATAATATATCGAGATATCGTGAGACAATTACGTCATCTAACTGGTTAAAAACAAGCAAGTTTCTCAAAATTTCTCAGAAATCAGATTACTTTTAAGTGTGTCAAGTATTTAATTCACACAAGATTATACAAAACCACGTGGTTATTCCATATAGACTATTTATTCATTGGAATACCAGAAACATGCTATATTGTGATATATTGTTATACATATATGAAATGACCTATATCGGGATAGAAGATTATGGCCATATCGCCTTGCCCTAGATCAGCAGTAAAACCACTTTGCGCTGGCAGTGCCCTTGTTTTCCAATTAGCAGAGCGGTGGCGCCCAACTAGGCAGAAGCACTACCCTTGGCACGGCACACAACTCAAAATTGTGCTCAAAGTTCAAATTATTTAAACTTTGACCTCGATTGCTGCTATACTTTCAAAGCTCATTTGATGACACTTTCTGATGACGTATACCTGCGGCGCGCTTTGCCTCGGAAAGTATCTGCACTAATATTCAAATCACAGGGTTATGTCCTGCCTCCCTTATTGTTTTAGTGGATTGTAAATGAAAAAATGAAAATCAGCATATTGTAAAAAGTCAGTCAGATTAATCACACGGGCCCATAGTCCCGAAGATCCTGTTTGGTTTTAAATGCATCCAAAACTTCAGAAATTATAATTTCCCAAAAGAAGAATTATTCATGGCTGCCTCAGTAAAGTAAACTACTGATAGGAGTAGATCAGAGAATATTGACACTCGTCAGGTTTTACACCTCTTTTATTGAAAGTATTTGAACATTTTCAGTTGCTGGTTTACATCCCTTTGTCAAAAGAAATCAATTACAAGGTGTCATAAACCTCAGCTCAAAAAACACAGACATCAAATCCTCAAAAAGCAGCACATTATTATCAATGACCCCACACATGTCCTTTCTGAATCCTTCAGGCTAATGGCATCAGAAATGTCCTTTAGATTACCTGCATGTAGTTTAGTTTTATTCCGGAAGCCATGAGGCAACTTTTATGTTTTCTTAAATCTTTACAGTCATATTTTGTTTTCATGTTGTTCTTATTTGTTTGAATGAATTGCTGTGTTTTTGTGTGGTTCTATGTTTTGCCTCCATCATAAGGAATAACACGTTTTGAATATAATTGAATACCCACCATGAGTGAACAGATGAAGAGAACAGCCATGACGAGCAGTTGAAGCAGTCAAATTCACCTGGTCGTTTCAGCACTGAAAGATGACATGCAAAAAAAAAAGAAAACAAGCAGATAATTGGAGAGAATCTGCGACCAGCTTGACTCTTAATTGACTCACGGTGGATTAGAAACTGAGCTTTCAGCTTCTGCTCCAGCAGTCAGCCAATCCCAAAGTGGAGCAGCAGCCGGGCTGCAAGGTCTTTGTAGCTGTGCTCCACAGTGACAGATGTGACATGAGGTGTTGTGAGATAACACGTCGTACTATACGATCTCATTATTTCAGGTTCAGACATCCATGGTTTATATGTTGCAAACAGTGTGTTTATTCACAGTATTTGATGACATCATACCATATGCATAACGTGCACGCTTTCTTGCTTTTGGTTCCTATGGCAAGGGGAACGATCTATTATTTACATCAGAATACAAATGATCAAAAACCCTTCCTACTTTAGCATCAAAGTAGTTTGGGAATGTGGTCTAGGAATACATTTGTCAGAGGAAACATGGCAGCCTGGAACGCATACACATATCCTCTATTTGTGAAAGACACAGCACTTCTTCTTCAATGCAGCATGACGTTCATTTAGTAAAGGATGATCCATTTAGAGTCAAATAGACCATGAAGCAGGCTATGCTTTAGGGGCGTGGTTGACTTGTGATTGACATGTCGCTGTCACAGCGTTGTCCAGTCTGTGAGTTGTCTGTGTTTTCGTATTAGAACTTTAACCCTTTCACAGTGTTTTTATTCACTTCATGAATGTTAATTTTTGGCCCCCTGAAAATGTCTTATTCAGCGTTCGGTTAGCTCCACCCTCTTGTGTCACAAGGCCAGAAACAAAGATTGGGACGGGTAAAATTGCATAAACTCCAGGCTCCAGACAGAGGTGGTGACCATGTATACTTCCTTTATACAGCCTATGGTGATAAATAAATGATATGTCATTAGTATTTGGTGAACCACTAACACTCCTAGGACATCCGACACAGAATGCTGTGACTGGAAAAACTCCATGTGACTGTCATGTTCCTGTGTGTTTTTATTTATATAACTTTTTATTTTCATTATCTTAATCCTTATTCATTATTTGCCATATTGCTTTATTTTGTTTTTCTTTCTTCCCAGCTCAGCCTTGACTACATCTGAAAGAATGTAAAATCTCTCCTATGAAAAAATACAAACACATTTGAGACATAAACCGCCAAACCATCCCATGCTCTCTAAGGGCATGCCTTCATTACAGTAAGTAGAAATAATAATATTCAGTGGTTAGTTTCGCATGATGGGCGATATTTTCTACAGTGGAAACAGATTCAAGGCTCCTAATTCATCCTGAAACTCCTCCTTGTGCATTTTCATTGGTACAAGCAGAAACGAACCACTCTGTGTAATGCACCAACCGTACTGCTCTCTGCTGTGTTTGATATGCTGTCAGAGTCTGAAATTGTCGCTTTCTTTGGTGCATACTGATATGTGCTCTGCTGTGTGTGTGTGTGTGTGTGTGTGTGTGTGTGTGGGTGTGACTGCCACTTTAGATGATGTGCTGGCGAGGGATGCCGGTGAGTGTGTGATCTGTCTAGAGGAACTGCAGCAAGGGGACACCATAGCCAGACTGCCGTGCCTCTGCATCTACCACAAAAGGTGACACACACACACACACACACGCACACATATTGTAATCACTGCCCTTTATATAATTTTGCACTTCTTCTAATTAAATCCACTTAATGCACTCCAATAATATTCCTTAAAGATTGGCAGTTTTTTATGTTCAGTTCATTTCTCCCAAAAATAATAATTACAAATATTAGAATTTGTTTGGCTGTTCGCTTTTGCGATATTCTGCCATCACCTGAACCTCTGCTTGCTTTGTGCCGTAAAGCGATTTGGATTATCACCCTCCCAATTTGACTCAATGTCAAGAAGCTAGTAGACATTTCTAATGTTTTAGGTGGTTGGGGGGGTCTCAAACTGTATCCTGACAGTAGTTCATGAGACAGATAATCTTTTAGTTCGCCTTATGGCATTTAGATTCCACCGTGCCTGAACGAAAAAGCCAATCAGAGTCAGTGAGTTTCCACCGCAGCTTATTATGAATCCCATTTCTTTTTTTGGCAAGACCCACCCTGTACAGCATTCACTCGCTAGGATTGGCCAGGCGTCCATGCTCGCTGAGATACTCGTAACTCGTTCGTGTCCTATGCCGTGACCAATAGCAGGCCATCCTGACCCTAAGTACTCAAGGTCCATGCCTAACCCTAACCAATCATCTCTCCCTCAACCAGCTACACAGAGCGGGTCTTGCCAAGAAAAGCAGTGGGATTTGTAACAATGCATTAATCACTGCTCATGAAGCTTGTGAGCTCTGATCAGTCTGTGAAACTAGGCAGCGCCGATCAAAGATGAATCAAGATTGCCATTTTCTCCCCTGTAATGTCTTCAGACACATATTTCATTGTTCTGTTTAGCTAAAAGAGAAAAAAAGGAAAAGAAAACTTGCAAGTTTGCTCCGGCTGGCGGCCGGTGCTTTGGCACCCCGGCTCCAACTGTCTCATGGTTGTTTTTCTTCGGGTGCAGTGAAATGTTGTAAATGTGATTAGGAGCACTAAGAGGAGCCTGGTGAGCCTGTTTTCTTTTTTTTTTACAAGTTACCTACTGCACCTTTAAAGAGACAGGTGCTAAAACAGAGCGTTTCAGACAGAGGGTGAATACAGGTATATTCAGACAGACATGAAAAATGATGTGTAAACATGTTCTAGTAGAACCCCACAATACAAGTATGAACCTGAAAATGAGCATGATATGTCCCCTTTAAGCTCCAATCTGTCAACACAAACCAGAGTTGTGAATTGTTTATGCAGCTTCAGTGTATACTATAAGTATGAGTTTATTGGCAATATAATTACACAAGTACTGTTCTCAAAAAGTACTTGAAATCGTTTATATAGGTTGAAAAAAAGGCCACATAGGTACTTTACTCAAGTACTTTCATTTGCTGCTACTTTATATTTCTTCTCCACCACACTTCAAAGGAAAAATATGTACTTTTTACTAAACCAAGCTTACCTGACAGTTATAGTTGCTTTACAAAGTAAGACTGAATTGATTGTACACATGGATGAGTGAATATGGTGTCCTTATGATTTCTTTGTGAATAATATTGGCATTAGCATTATTCTCCTTGATTTCAATGTAAATTAGGTTTTTAAAGGATACCTTGATCTGCTTCAAAAACCTGTGTTAGTTGTCACATCCATTGTACATTTTTTATTGCTGTACATGAGTAAATACTCATGTACAGTATTTACTCATGTAGCATACTGTACATGAGTAAATACTCATGTACAGTATGCTGCTTCATATTTTTACTTCACTAAACTTTAAAGATATATTTTGTACATTTTTCTCAACTATATATCTGACTGTCAATGCAATGTTGCAGGTTAAGTCTGATTGGATTTCACACATCTATGATGGATATGTTGTCTCTAGAATTAGTCATTTGCATTAATAACAGCATTAGCATCAGTATTGTAATCTAAATCAGTTATAAAGGTTTTTCCAAACATTTTTCAGGGTGAAGTGAAAAAGCCACAATATTATATTTTTCTCATCTTCTAAAAAGAGAAATTAGTGTGCATGGACTTTATCTGTGGTTATTAAACCACTTGTTTCAGCTCTATTCCTCTCTGTTTACAACATTATTGGACAGTGAATTGATGTGTTAGGATTCTGATCATATTGGACTCTTGGGTTTATTTTCTATCTTCATTTCAGTTGTGAGTGGGTGTGTTTGCTCCATATGAGACATAATGATTTTAGCTGCCCGTGGGAAGAATTCACCTATACGAATCTGTCCAGTCAGAGTCTAATGACTCTGGCCATTGTTCTCTTTTGGAGACCTTCCTGTGATTTTGCTTTCACAACTCGCATAATAAATGTCCTGCTCTGCTATCTCTTTCCTCGTCTCTCCTCTGTGTGTCACGGTGTGTGTATCTCACTGGAGGCAGGACACTTGTCAGAATGCCCATATTTGATTGGCTGCGCTGCATCACGTGATGTGATTCACAACGCATTGGGGTACATCCCAAGTCTCTTAATTGTCATTTCCTCGCTCTTCGATCCTCGCTTGAACCGGAAGTTGTTCTGCACCGCCATATTGACGGCCGTCCCAAAGCTCTTATTTAGCTCTGAGGAGAGAGGATCGAGGAGAGAGGAGGGATCTCCGAGGAGCCATGAGCGAGGACCCACGAGAACAGACTTCCAGGAAGTGTTTTAACGGCCGACACGCCCCCTCATTGTTCATCAGTCATGTGATTGGACGCTGCAGCCGATCGGACTGATGAGATTTTTTTCGACATGTAAACAGTGAAGACCGATCACAGAATAAACTCAAGCTTCATATTTGATTCGTTTTCTGATTCACCATCTGGTTTAAATAAATGTTCATTGTAGACTGAACAACAAAATGACCACAAACAACTTTCTTCATTTATTAGAAAGATTTGTGTTTTCATGATCTGAACTTTTATTATGGAAACAATTAAAGTCAGAGGGAACTGGAGAGACGAAACACACATATATATATATCTATATATATATCTATATCTATATATATATATATATATATATATAGAGAGAGAGAGAGAGAGAGAGAGAGGGAGAGAGAGGGAGAGAGAGAGAGAGAGATGGAGAGAATAAACACTTTTTACATCATTTATCATCATTTCATTCAGTCGCGTGAGGCTGTTCATTCCTGATTGTCGGGTTTGATGAATTTTATCATTTAAGAGAAACAATAATCATATTCTGGGTTATTTAATAATGACTCCATAATCTGAATTTCAAAACGTACAGACGCAAATAATTCATAAATAAGACGATCGCATTCCGCCGGTGTAAATGGATCCTGCGCTTATAAACAGAACACAGAACACAGTTTGTTAACAGACTACAGAGAGAAACACCTCTACAGTGGTGATTACTGTGTGTCTTTATTAGTTATTAGTTACTGTTATTAAGTACAGTGATCATGTGAACAGACACAAACTTATTAAAAGTCTCTCCAGCTGTTAAAGCCGACTGACAGCTGATCCAGCTGTGATCATCAGCACCGTCAGCACTGCTGAACAAGTGCCGTAAATGCTGGAATAATTCCGCTGCATAAAAAATCCCCTTCAAAATAAAAGCACAAGATTTCGTTTTTGTTTTGTTTTTTGTCAGGCAAAGGCCCGTGACCCACTGAAAACGGGTACGTGACCCACTCTCGACCCACCAGTTGAGAATCACTGATTTAAATGACTACTTTAACTTGAGTAAAGGATCTTCTTCAACCAAACGTGAATACTTACAGGGAGATGATAGTAAACTGTTCCATAAAACACAGTGAGAATGTGACATTCCCTCCCGGTCTCATTTCTATATTGCATATTGTGTATGTTCTCCTAATATGGGAGTCAATGGAGGCCTTCCAACATGCCTACATGTTACTTTAGCAACAATCCTCTGTGGTGTTGAATCCATTTTATGACCTCTGTATTTGCAGCTGTATTTTATATAGACTTGCTGTTTGTCAAAATAACTTGTGCATGTCTGTGCGTGTCTGTAGCTGTATAGACTCGTGGTTTGAGATCAATCGGTCCTGCCCCGAACACCCCTCTGACTGACTGACCACCAGCCCTCTCTGAATTCTGTTCAAGGTGAGACACACAGCACAAACACAGCACTGTGTGAATGGAAACCAGCATACGGAAGCTCATGTTGTTCTTGTATTTAAATTCAGATGTGGTCCAGTTACTGTTGTCCTCCACTGATGGATTTTATGCGTTTGACTTGATACAAATTCATTGTAGCTAGATGTAAAGTTATGGGATCACCGAATTACATTTCATGTTGAATATTTAGTTCATTAATACAGCAATTCATATTCATATATTTAAAACACACAGTTAAATAAAGAAATATTCAATTTGTTCGTTTTGTGAATAACAAATGAGCATAGTAGAGGCCTCAAGATGGTAGTAACTAGTGTTAAAGAGACAACTTTGCTAGCGAGAGAAAGAAAATGATTGTCATATAAGCCACTGAAAGGATTTTTCATCTCTTAATATGTTGCTTGATGAACCATATATGACTACATCATGTCTGTCTGTCTGTCTGTCTCCCCCCGCCCTGCCCCTGTTTCCAGGACATCTCGTGGTCCTGCCATGGATATCTGGACGCAGACACAAACCAAATCTGATGAAACAATCAAAGCGATCAACACATACTTATCCCGACAGAATCCATCATCCTAACCAAGATATTAAATTCCTTTTAAACTGAACACAGAAAAATGTGGCTGTGAATCCATCGTACATTAAAGGGCCCCTCCCGAGCCCGCTGAAGAGACCGCTGAGACCCCCCCCCGCCGCTTCCCCTCCTTCCCTCCCCTCCCACTTCTCCAGGCTAACAGTCCCTTAAAGGGCTTCATCCGCCTCGGCTCCCCCCTCCGACTCGAGAGGCCCGTCGCCTCCCTGACATGCACAGGTCCTTGTAGGGCTCCAGCTACTAGCCTCCCATCTTGCGTCCGGACCCGGGCCCGTCAACGGTCCGTGTCCAGCCCTCCCACGGCCTTAACTGGGGAGGGGAAGTGGAGAAGGGAGGGGGCAGGAGGGGAGACGAAGGAAACCACACAAGAAAGGAGGAAGGCGGCGAGGATGAGAAGGAAACCAACGACGTGAGGATTGTTTGAGCTGCAGAAACCTGCTTTGAGATCAGACTTCGGCGGCCCTCTCATGTCACAGCAGGAGTCCGACTTCGTGACGTCCTCTCATAACAGTGTGCTTCTTTCTCATAGCTCATGCCTCTGTTCTGCGCCCTCCCTCGCCAATATGACTCATAATAAGCAAATCAAATATAATAATTAGATCTGGTTTGTGCACACCTGAGCAGGCAGGGGGAGATGGAGGGATAAGAAACAAACTGGGGTGTCAGCTTGTCTTGTATGTACAGGATGTATGGGGGCGGAGGAGTAGTTGGAGCATGCTCAGCTCTGGTTGGGAAGGAGGAAGGGCCCAGCAGTGTAGTTTACGCTCCTAGTGTGTAATATGTGTGTTCGGGATGCTCCAGTGTCAGGCTTCACCTGGTATGTGTATGTACTCTGTGTGTGTGTGTGTCTGAGCTTGGAACTGTGACAACATAGCTTATGCTGAAGCCTTGTGTGTGTGTGTGTGTGTGTGTGTGTGTGTGTGTGTGTGTGTGTGTGAGAGACAGAGACAGCGTGAAAGGTCAGTGTCGAGGACTGACTGGGACAGTGCCGTATGTGTGTGTCAGTGTATTGAAATGTTTACAGTCTAGATGTCCATGTTCCCCGTGTGTGTGACTGGCAGTCCTCCCTTTACTTTGCTGATGTTTACAGCTACAGAGAAGCGACATGGCACATTGTAAATTACGTGCCCGACTTCTCTCTCGGCCCGTTCTTTGTTAGATCTGCCAGATTTTTTCATGTGATAAATCATTTTCCCGTGAGAGTCTCGAGTGCGTGCGTCTCCGTGCATATGACTGTTTGTGCGTGTGTGTGTGAGTGTGTGTGATTCCAAAGGCGCCTCTCGGTCTACGCTACTGTCCCCCCCCCGCGTTGTGTTTCTGCTAGAGTAGTTCTGGCTGACTGTGACTGGAGACGCGAGCCACTTGGACCCGGAAAAAAAAGGACTCTGTAGTCCCACTGTGGATCCACTGGACGGGGCTTATTTATTCATTTGTTCATATTTAACAAAATTTGTTTAATATTCCAATCATGTGAGGTGTTACCCACTCTTCAGAATGCCAAGAGTTGATGTATGAAGACTTCTACAAATCAACGTACGAACAAACTGCATTTACAAAGCTACTGTAAACAAATGGTGGAATAAATTGTGCTAGATGACAGACTCTATTTTCTTCACTTTCCCTCTGTGACCCAGATACAATTCATCCAAAGTGAATAGCACTGGATTTCCCATCAAACATCTTAATCCTGACTTTATGGTCGGCCTATAGACACACAGTATGTGTTCTAGGTGTACAATATGGGGACATGGTGATACAGTTAAGTCGTGAATCATCTCCCACTCCAACAGCAGTCCGAGTTATTTTGGGATCGAGTGTGACGTATCCTCTTTCTCTGAGAAGGCAGTGTGTAGTCCAATGTCATTTTGTCATTTTACTATTTCCCAGAATGCCGTTTCACAAGAAAAGGGCTGTCTCCATAAGATTGTTATCTCCTCCGAAAATGTCTAAAGTTTTCTTCGAACGATTCTCTCAATGTTCCTAAACGTAGAAGTACAGAGGCTCACCATGGATAATTCAACAATATATTAAGTTTATGGTATGGCCATCTGTTTTGATTATTTCAACTTTGTTTCTGAAAAGTATTTTTACATTTTTTTCATTTAACACGACAATAACCATGAGCGTTATAGACCACTGTGAGTCCTTAAAACCCAGAAATGAGTCAGCAGTTTTGCACTTCCGGTTCCTTTGTAAAGTCAATTGTTTTTTTAATCTAAAGCAAACACGACTTCGCAGTTTCGTTAAATTCGAGCCAGAAATGCATCGCAAATACACGACAAGCTGCTTTATGTTGTTGAAACATTGAAGTCTGGATTTTTCGTTGAACATTTCTACCTTGCACTCTATGATAAACCATGTTGGGTTCTACTCTTACACCTTCAACAAGTCAGTATGTAAGAGTTGGACTCACTGCTAAGATGCTCTGCTTGTTTTTCAGATTGAATCTTGGATGTTGGTGGGAAGTGACTGATCAAAGATGAGCCCTTCTTAACAGCATCAGAGCATCCTTTGTTTTTACCAACAGCAGATGCTACATGGTCTACCATCTTTTGTTTGGGGTGTAACTTGAGGAATCCAGCTCTTAGAAGTGTGTGTATGTCAACACGTTCTCATTCCCAAATACAGCAGCTCGGTCAGTGGCCCTACGCTTCAAACTCCAATGCTCTACGTACCCCTCTAGCGTCAGTTTTGCTTGTGTCAATTTTGGACATTACATGGAAATGATGTATTTTCAAAAAAAACTGCAGTGTTCACTGGAAACTACTTGGTTGGGGTAGTAAAACGTAACTTTAGTAAAGTTACGTAATTTGAAATAAGACAACATGGGACACGAACACAGACCTCCTGAGTGATTTTGCTGTGTCTCTTTGACTTCCTCCTTTACTCCCGCCATAACTGGCCACGTAGAACGTCATTTGCCGCGTTTGACTGACCAAGCTGCCGTATTTGACAACTTTGGAGTGAGAACAGGCTGTGTATGTATATGTGTGTGTGGAAAAGCAGCCACTATATTTTGATCTTTTTAATCTATCAATCATTCTACTTCTTGAGGAATCTTTGCTGAAATGATTATGGGCAGGAAGTTGTCTCTTCTTACTTTATCCATTTGTTTTATTGGTCTTTAGTCACTTTTATACGCGTTAAAACCAGGAAGTATGTCATTTAACACAACGGAATGAGTCATCTTCCAGAGGGAAGCTGACAGAGAAACTGCCTCAGATGTGATAAATTGGGACTACCATTCGCACCTCACGGCCTGTTCTGCACTCACTGCCCTAGTGATTTCTATTTCCTGTAAAAAAAATAGAGTCCACGCAGTCCATCATGAGATCTTTTCATAAAACGTTATGCTTGAAGTGCAACACGAGGCATTATGAGAACTGTAAACATATATCTAGTATGTGTACGCCCCTCTGTGTTAGCTTAAAGCTGCACTAATCAATAGGTTTGATCAACAGTGGGTCAAAAGACAACATACAAAGTGAAAGTTCCCCTCAGCTCTACAGGACATTTCCCACACTCTTTACCCATTCCCACACTGGCTGGTTTGGTAAACATCAGCATGCTTTGTGACTTTGCCTCATAGCATTTTTTTAAGTAGCTGCCTCTTGATGCCATTTGCATTGGCCATCATGTGATAACAGCATTGGCGGACTTCCAATGTGGTATGAAATTGTTTTGGGCAGAACATTTTCAATCCCATAGGAGTTTTTTTCCTCATAATATCACACCTAATATTAAAACACTTATGTGGTTATGATGCCTCGTCTGGCACCACTTCAGTTAAACCGTTACTAGACCCGTTAGTGCTGAGATCGTCCCTGCTCCTTGATTAGGCCGTGACACGTGAAAGGGTTCCAGACAGGGTTGACTTCAGTGAGGATGGAGATCAACATCGTGGTGCATAACAGCGGGCCATAAGAAGCCAGATAATACCGCTAACCTCACTGCCTATCTGTGTGACACACAGTGTTCCCTGTGTATCATGGCCTGCAGCTAACGGAGGGGGATGATCTCATTTGGGAAATTATATGCGCTTCAGTCTGTTTAGTTTGCAGAATGAAAATATGTAATGAGTCTCTCAGACTGCTGCTACAGTAGACAGTGGTCCACCGTACCGCCTGCCCGCCCACTCAGCTCAGACACACAACAACAATACAGTACCTGCATTTAATTAATATGGCTTTACTTCATCTGCCTGCTTTTTAGGGGCTCCGAGTAACATGTCTGATGACTTTGATGTGCAATCTGCAGGATGAGTAATAATAATGACAAACATAATTAATAATATTAAAAACGTTTTTAAAGGGATGGTACCCTAACAGATGGGAAAATGCAAGATTACAACATGGATTAACATTAAGTGTGGTCAGGGCAGCTCAATAGAGCAAACGAGAACCATTTAGCATGCTGGTTTCTCTTTTTCCTATTTAATTTAATGGAAATTCTAGCTTGACTTTCCAGTGCTTGTTTGAAGAACTTATCATTATGATCATCTATCTGTATTATTACTATTCTGATTATTATTATGAGTATACTGTTATTATTGTTATTATTATTTTAAAAAGCTTGATGACCGATGAACATTACACAAAGGGGCTTTGAATTTGTAATGGTAATATTCTGACCTCTATTGGCTAAATTCGTAATTGCACCTGACTTTTAAAGGCAAAAAAAGCGAATGTAATTTTGTAATTCATATCATTGTTGGAAACGAATGCAATATAGGAAGAGTATTATTTTTCCCTGAAGCAACACATTTTACTTATATTTAAAACAGCTTGAAGAAAACGTTTTAAAAACAACAAGCAACCTTTAGAATTTAAAGCAGAAAAATACACCATCAATTGGCTCAGTTCGACTCATGGATGTCAATTCCGATTGCTCTGGTCTGGATCTCACAACAAGCGCTCTGATTGGCCAACAGGTCCTAGCGCCAAAAATAGGAAGGAAGAAGAGTTGTGAACGCAACAAAGGATATTATTTGCTCAATATTTCAGTAAATATATTGGCATAAACCTACTTTCAACCTCATTCGGGTACAAAATGGATACACAGTCATATCTACCTTTACAGCCTGGGGTGGGGATGGAGGAGAATTTCCTGTCTCTTGACGACATTTTGCTCTCTCACGAGAGACTTCCCATCCGGACAGAGTGCAGTTTCCCCCGGCTGGGATATCTGGAGAAGTCGACTGATGCGCAGGACATACCGGAGGTTGGTAGAGTTACCGAAGAAAATGTCGTCGTGATGTTTAGAATGTTGTCATTGTATGTATTTAGAGATAACTCGGTCCATCTGAAATAAAACTAAAAGTAGCCCAGATACAGGTAAGTTATTTTTGTTGTGAGACAGTTGGCTGTTACGCCAAACCACATTCAATATTTTGCAGTTTAACTTCAATTTTATTATTATTTTCGCGAAGTAAAATTGGCTTGCAAGCAGGCATTAACAGCATTAGGTGAAGCAATCAAATGTAAAGTAACTCTACGGCTTATAAGAAAATGAATAACACTGACGTCAATATCATTTCAACTTCAGTGACGTTACGTGACAGTTAATAGTGGATACGGCAACTTTATTTAAATTGATATCTGTATTATGAAATGTGTTTGGGCTGTCTCTGGTTGAACCACGACATTTAACAACTCAAATGAGGTACCGCTCCCATTACTGCATAAGAAATATTTAATGTAATGTTACACAACACTTGTCCTGGGAACCTGACGTTGTAATTGAAACTAATATAGGAAGTCCATATGTAGCCAGGCGAAGTGGGGGTAGGAAGGTTTTTGTACTGTCCCTGATAGATATGACTTACGTGCAGGGTTAGTGACAGTGACAGATGCTGCTCTTATTTTAGGCGTACTGTCACTTTAAGAACAATGAAGCGTGAGCTACGCGAGAGCACGGAGTTCACGTGAGATGTAGGAATATCGCCAAACTGTGTAGACAGCTGGTACTGTTAGAGTTTGACACAGCTCTACAGGGAGAGCTGGATTCTGCTTGGAGAGATGCTTTCCATCAAATGCAGGAGGCAGAACTTGTTGGAAAAGTATCTACAGCCCGTGTGGCAGGAAGACAGAAAGTGCATATACCTGCTTCAGCTATTGCCACAGTTTATGCAAGGGGACTCAGGAGATCGTCAGGTGGTGACACCAGCATGCTGCTCGAGCCAGGGCCTATGCCACTGCCTGGCGGGTTGATTGTTTTCCCAACGGTGGTGTCAGCCAACAGTCAGGTGTTCCCAGTCCAAGTTGTCAACCTCTCACAAGAGGATGTGTGGTTGTCCCCAAAGACTAGGCTAGGTATCTTAGTGTTGAGGGTGACCCCTACGAGGTGAAGTTTCAGCGTATCACCGCTGACCATGAGGAAGTAACGATTAACCGGAAGGATGATCATGGATGTGACTGATGTACAGAGCCTACTCGAGCAACTACATCTAGGAGGTGCGCCAGAACAGCAGGCGGAACTAGGAGAGCTTCTGATGAAGTACGCAGATGTGTTTGCAGTTCATGCTGAGGATCTGGGATACACTGATAAGGTTAAGCATGAAATCCCTGTGGTGGACGAGACACCAGCTTCCCAACCTTACCGGCGCATCCCACCTAATCAGTACAAGGAGGTCAGGGAACATATTTCTGAACTGCTGAGAAAAGGAGTGATTCAAGAGAGTTCAAGCTCCTATGCCTCACCTATTGTGTTGGTGCGCAAGTCTGATGGAAGTTTAAGGCTGTGTGTTGACTACAGGAGGCTGAACTTGAAGACCAGGCGTGATGCATTTCCACTGCCACGCATTGATGAAACTTTGGATGCTCTGAGTGGCGCAAAGTTCTTCTCGACAATCGACCTCACCAGCGGATACCATCAGGTTGCTGTACATGAGAAAGATAGGGACAAAACAGCGTTCGCCACACCATTCGGCCTTTATGAGTACCTGAGGATGCCCTTTGGGCTCTGTAACGCACCCGCAACCTTTCAACGTCTGATGCAGGCTACGATGAGTGATCTAGTTTTGCAGATGGTATTGATCTATTTGGACGACTTGCTAGTGTTTTCATCAACATTCCAAGACCACTTAGTGAGGTTAGAGACAGTCTTCAAGAGGTTGAGAGCGACAGGGCTAAAAGTCAAAATGAAGAAGTGCCATTTTCTTCAACCCGAGGTCAGATTTCTTGGCCACCAAGTTTCAGCTCAAGGTATTGGCACAGACCCTGACAAGATAAGTGCAGTGAAGAAGTGGCCCATCCCCAGTACTGTGAAAGAGCTACAGTCATTTTTGGGCTTTTGCAGTTACTATAGAAGGTTCATTGAGGGTTTCTCCCAAATTGCAGGGCCCCTTCACGATGTTGTAAATGCTTGTATCAAAGAGAGCAGCAAGGTCAGGAGTAATGAGTTGTTCAGGTTAGCCTGGAATCCACAGTGTCTACAGGCTTTTGAGCTCCTAAAGGAGAAGCTGACCAGCGCCCCCACACTTGGCTATGCAGACTTTAACCGCCCTTTTATTGTAGAGACAGATGCTAGCAGTCAAGGTCTAGGTGCAGTCCTATGCCAGGAACAGGGGGGGAAAGCTAAAAGTCATTGCTTATGCAAGTAGGAGGCTAAGAGGGGCTGAGAAAAATGACCAAAATTACAGCAGTATGAAGTTGGAGCTCCTCGCTCTAAAGTGGGCTGTCACTGAAAAGTTTAGGAGTCATCTTCTGGGGTCCAAATTCACCATCATTACGGATAATAACCCCTTGTGTCATCTTTCTACTGCCAACTTGGGCTATTCAACAGCGGTGGGTCGCTCAGCTGGCCGTATTTGATTTTGATGTGAAGTATCGCCCTGGTAGGTGCAATTCTGCAGCTGATGCACTCTCCCGGCAACCAGCAGCCGATGAACCAGAACCTGAAAGTGAGGATGCAGAGTATGATGGGTGTGTGGCCATATGCAGCTCGCTTAGGACAGGTACAGCTCTGGGCCTGGATTTAGTTGCAGCAGGGATTGAGTGTGGTAGGGTCAGGCAGCTATGGCGAGTGAGACAGCAACGAGTGAGGTAGCTCAGGATAACACACCAACCTTGCCAGGATATTCTAAAACAGAACGTCAGAAATTTCAAGCATCAGATCCGACACTTAGTGTAGTGAGAGAGTTTTGGAGCAGACAGAGGAAACCTACCTTCCAAGAGAGAAAAGGTTTATCTAAGGCAGTTTGCTCCTGGCTGAAACAGTGGCCACGGATCAGAGAAAAGGACGGACTCCTGTACCGATTGAGGATGTTTATACTGGAAAGTGTGAACAGCTGTTGTTGCCTACCTCCCTCAAAGAGCAAGTCCTTAAAAGTGTGCATGACCAGATGGGGCATCAGGGCATTGAGCGGACATTGGGTCTGCTGAGGCAGAGATGTTTTTGGGTGGGTATGCATGGGGATGTAGAGCAGTGGGTGAAGAGATGTCAGAGGTGTGTGTTGACAAAAATGCCACAGCCCAAGATCCAAGCACCCCAAACTCCATTCTTGGCTACTCGCCCCCTCGAGGTTCTTGCTGTGGACTACACCACGCTTGAACGCGCCACAGATGGTCGTGAGAATGTACTCGTGATGACTGATGTATTCACCAAGTTCAGCCAGGCGTTTGCTACACGAGACCAGAAAGCAGATCCCACCGCTGCCACCAAAATTAGTGTAGCCTAATTAAAAAGATGAGACCAGACACTAAGATACATTTATGTTTTATGTGGGTCTTTTATTTCCCCCGACTGCACTCTTGGAGTACAGCGTTAATTGGTCAAATTTTAAAAGGTACAGATCAATTGACAGCAAAATTAAACAACTGCTTCCCACTCTCTTCAGAATTACAATACAACTGGAAACACTATATTCTAAAGCTACATAGAAAAACAGTAGTGACCTACTCCTGTTAAGCAGAAACAAAGAACCTCTGCATCAGTCTCATGCTGTTCAACTCTCTGAGATATGTAGATAGCATTTATTTCACATGAACACAATTATTGTTAAAGAAAATAATGAACTCACTCCCATATCAGTACTCGGCCTGTGTGCTCGGACCCACACACACGGAACTCACGGCAGCTTCTGTCTCCCCTCTAAATGAGGCAGATGCATACAACTTAACACCATGTCTCTAAACAGTTAACAAGCCCAATTACAAGGTGATTCAGCATTCATTAGTAACTTCTCCCGCTATTTACGCTGACCCGTTGTTCAGGTCTTTCCCTTCAGTTCAGTGGATGCTAAAAGCTAACGCTCGGTCCTCAGTAGCCTCTGATTCCCGCTCTGTATTCCTACATCTCACGTGAACTCCGTGCTCTCGCGTAGCTCACGCTTCATTGTTCTTAAAGTGACAGTACGCCTAAAATAAGGGCAGCATCTGTCACTGTCACTAACCCTGCACCTAAGTCATATCTATCAGGGACAGTACAAAAACCTTCCTACCCCCACTTCGCCTGGCTACATTCTCCCCTGCTACCAGTCAACGTCCTCGGTGACTTCCTGTCTGTCTATGTTTCTCTGAAGCTTTGAAGTATATAGAACCATCCCCGCTAACAGCTGGGAGAGTACATCAGGACTAAAAGACACCGCATTGCATGAGGAGCTAGGCAAGTTAAATGGGTTTTGGTGTATTACTGTTGTTTTTCTATGTAGCTTTAGAATATAGTGTTTCCAGTTGTATTGTAATTCTGAAGAGAGTGGGAAGTAGTTTAATTTTGCTGTCAATTGATCTGTAGCTTTTTAAAATTTTACCAATTAACGCTGTACTCCAAGAGTGCAGTCGGGGGAAATAAAAGACCCACATAAAACATAAATGTATCTTAGTGTCTGGTCTCATCTTTTTAATTAGGCTACACTAATTTGGTGGGGATCTACTTGGGCTGGAGGGACGTGACCCACCTGATGATGACCTGGAGGAGAAATCAGTACCCTGTCCTCAGCCCATGTCAGAGAGACCCAGCTCACATGCTGAGAATTTGGAGGTGAGGCCTGTGCCTACCCCAAGGAAGAGAAAGGAGGGAAATGTTGACACACCCATTCCCCCTCTAGGCAAGAGTCAGAGAAAAACAGCAGGGATACACCAAAACCCATTTAACTTGCCTAGCTCCTCTTGCAATGCGGTGTCTTTTAGTCCTGATGTACTCTCCCAGCTGTTAGCTGGGATGGTTCTCTATACTTCAAAGCTTCAGGGAAACATAGACAGAGAGGAAGTCACCGAGGACGTTGACTGGTAGCAGGGGAGAATGTAGCCAGGCGAAGTGGGGGTAGGAAGGTTTTTGTACTGTCCCTGATAGATATGACTTACGTGCAGGGTTAGTGACAGTGACAGATGCTGCTCTTATTTTAGGCGTACTGTCACTTTAAGAACAATGAAGCGTGAGCTACGCGAGAGCACGGAGTTACACAACACTTGTCCTGGGAACCTGACGTAATTGAAACTAATATAGGAAGTCCATATATATAGGAACACCACTAAGTCTCCTCTGGATGAACATCAGAAGGAAAGGCCCTTGTTTCTATGTCTTTAGATTTAGTTAGGGGAAAACAGAAAACATTTTTACAAGCAATGGTGTAAATAATGAAATCACTGTCACACTGTCATGGCTTACTGGGACAATAGAACCGATTGTGCTTTTCTGCTGCTGTGAAAAAAGTTCAGTTTGTAATCGCAATTAAGAGCATTTTACATAACCGTGTTACTGTAAGATGAGACACAGTGAATTCCAACCTATGCCTGCACCAACATGTACCTGCAATATGGACCCCAGAAAGCAGGGGACAATAATAACTCTGAAGTCCACGTCATTTGTCTCAGGGCACAAATATGGAGCTCCCTCTGTGGCTGTCCAAGGGTCTGTACGAGAAGAAGAGGAGAGTGTTGTCAGTGGAGCTTCCCAAGGTGTACAGAGAGGGCTGGAGGACCGTGTTCAACGCCGACCCCAACGTGGTGGACTTGCACAAGATGGGGCCCTACTACTACGGCCTGGGGTCCCAGATGCTGCACTTTGACAGCCCAGAGAACCCCGAAATCGCTCAGACGCTGCTGCAGGTGAGCGACACGCACTGTCATTGATGTAGAAGAGTTAATTTATCATGAGAAGGTACAAAGATGTGCTGGAGTACCAAATGTCAAACCTCATTGTCAGTATTGGCATGAAACCATTTACAGAAGTACCCAGGAGGGTCTACAACATGTGTTTTAAGGATATATCAGGATGTCAAACTGATTCAGCAGTGAAAATAGGTTTAAAAGATAAAGCTAGGAACTAAAGCTACAGATTACAGTGTAAAAGTGAATTACCACACGACCGAGACAGAAGATGATGAAAAGAAGGAAAAACACTGTTCCTGTAAAGCAGAGTAGGTCTTTATTTGTTATATAAATCATTAAAAGGAAAAACGGCAGACGTAGTATACCTTCAGTAGCTAGTGTAGCATAGAAGGGCTAACACTAGTTACTGCTGTGCCAACATACTCCGCTAATGTTAGCTCCACAGGTTTTTATATATAAACGTAACATTTTAGAAACTTATATCTCCTTCCAACTTCTCCTGGTAAAGAGTATCACTATTACACAACTTTTAACCATCACTAGCTCTAAATCCACTAAACCAGCTTGAACATGAAGACAATCTGAAACACTTGATTAGCGTTTATGGGAAGTTTTTGTTAGTTGACAGACCCTGGTCAGAGCTGGCCAATGCTATGCCAGTCTGCTTTCGAGGGTGGGACTTAGTGAAGCTTTCTGTGCACAGATGTACAATGTATGCATTTACATAGAAAATGTGAGCTTAAACTTTGCGGTCACAGCTGATTTCACAGCAAGCTGACAAGTCATATCTGATCTGTTTTCAGTTCATTTCTCCACACAAAAGTTATCTCTCGAATATGTCACGCAACACTCTCAGCTCTTGATGGGTATCGGCCGGTTAATCGGCTGTCTGCTTTTTTTCTGCTCCAAACTATCATATCTTTATCATATCTGCCTTTAAAAATCGGTCGACCTCTACAGCAAACGGTGAAACATCTGCCGAGCAGCTGATGCTGTTAGATTGTTCAAATTCTGTAAATCTAGTGAAATGTGAACTGTACACAGATAGGTATGCTTTATTCAGGACACAAAAATACTCACATAAAATAGTGAGGCGCATTTACACTTGTTTGGTAAACAGACAAGATAAAAACATGTTAATAAATGAGCTTTAGAAGGGCTGGTAGCTGACTTGTGTTGCCTTTGGACAGAGTCAGGTTAACTGTTTCTACTGATTCCAATCTTAATGCTAAGCTAGGCTCAAACAGGTTGCCGCCTATATTTAATGTGCAGTTATGGGAGAAGAAAATAACTTCTCATTTCACTCTCTCCCAGAAAGCGAACAAGTGTAATTCCTAAATGTTGAGCTATTCCTTTATCCAGGTGTTTCTACACGCAAAGTAAAATGTTTGAACTAAAAAAGTGTTGGCAGCTGCATCAAGTCACTTCAGCACTGTTCTTTTTAGTTTTTTTGCCAAACCACAGGTGATCACTGTCACATTTTACTCAAAGAATATTTTCGTTTATTTATTATTGTTTGCTCAGCACTTAAATCCGTACGTCAGATCATTTCACAACTTGTGATACACACAGTTTGATTTTCAGCCCATCACACACAACAGATTGGATTAAATGATATTGTTGGCTGGTGTTTTTACGAGAGAGAAACATATACAAGCTTGCAAGTACCCAAAACAGTTTCCTGGCGGTCAAATTTACCAATGAATGTGTGGTCAAATGTAATATTGCATTGTGCAAAAGCTTAGATGCTTTTCTATAAAACTTCATAGATCAATAGGCACAATGCAGATTCTGTGTTATTTAATACATTACAGCTAGGGGGTGCAATCAGATCAGAAAACATGGCTTACTATTGGCTGTCTGGTGCAGCTGTTACCAAGCAGATTATAACTGATCTCATTGTCTAACGGGCAAACAGAAACCGAGGGACGATGCACTTCTCCATAGCTTTACACACCACAAGGTTTTTTTACATATTTAAATGGAGAAAGTGCTTGATAAGAAAATGTATATTTGATATCATATCCATTTCTTCAGCTAATGTGTTAATGTGAGCTATTAACTCGACCAAGAACCGATTGAGTGAAAAATTTGCTTGTTATGAAGACGCCTGTGTTAAGTGGTAAATTATGCATAACTGCATTTCTATAGAAATAGCACTGTGAAGACAAAAACACCAAGGAGTGAATCAGGATTTCTAGGTTTACAGACTTTATACTAGCTGTACTTCTGAAACGTTAGAACCAGAAACCATCTTTGATGTTTCAACATTTTTAAGATCAAGTTTTTTTTTTGAAGATGGTTTTGCCTAGAGGCAAGTAAGATAAAATATACATATCTGAATTTCAACATTAAATTTAACATCAAATTCACCAGTTTACTCCGATTTAAAAACCAGCATGACTTAAAGGAACACCTCACCCCCAAAATCAATTACTCACCAAGTGTTACCTTGAAGAAAACTTCCACAGCAAACAAAGAACCAAAAAAAACTACTTGTCTGTGTGAGTCCGAAGTGTTTTTCAATTTTTACGGTTTTAATAAAGATGAATGAAGACTTTTCTCCGCTTTTTTACTATCCGTTCATCGTGAGGCAAACCAGGCAGCAACTCCGGTTCTATGGTCTCAATCTCTAGTTTCAAGTCTTCTTCAATACAGCATGATGTTCATTTAGTAAATTATGGTCAATTTAGAGTCAAACAGACCATAGAGCAGGGTATGATTTAGGGCGGGGCTAAGGTGATTGACAAGTTGCTGCCAGAGCCGTGTCCGGTGTCTTAACGTCACTCCTCCGCATTTCAAATATGATAACTTCCGTTCATTGGCTGCAAAAAGCCAAGATGGCGAGGGCCCTATTCCAAAATAGCGACTGAAGTCGCCAAACTCGAGGCTTCAAAGCGTCTACAAACAAATGGGTGTCTTCTTATATACAGTCTATGAAGCAAAGAAAGTTTCTTCTTGAATTCAAAGTAACTCGGGGAGAGTAACTGAAACTAGACAAAAAAGAAGTAATTTTATGGTTGAAGTATTCCTTTGATTTAAAAGTACCTCATCAGCAATAATACTCACACAGTGCCCTACATGCGCTGTCTTTGTCTTCCCATCTAATTTGTGGCAAACTGTTGACATTGTCCTTCTCCCAGACGTTCATCGGCCGCTTCAGACGGAACATGGACTCCTCCCAGAATGCCTACAACGAGGACACGTCTGCGCTGGTGGAGCGCCTGGACTGTCTGGAGAAGGCCCTGTTCACGTCGGGGCAGAGCGGCCTCAACGGCTTCCAGAGCTGGGAGAAGGGCCGGGCCTCGCAGCTCACCGCCTCCAGCCTCGTCCTCAACTACCGCAAGAGGAAGATGGCTGACGTGCCGCCCTGAGCTGGGCTCAGTTTAAAGAGGCAGGCGCTTGGACAGAACTTTGGAGCACGACGGCAGCGCTGACTTTCCCTGTCATCCTCACTTCACCACCCTCTAACTTTGAGCCAAGCTCTCTGTGGTGGGACAAGATGAGTTCTATGAGTTTCACATAACCTTGACAGTGTGTTCATGATCACCATTAGATCTAAGAATATGAATAGTTGGTTGCTGAAGTTTTGATTGTTGATTGTTTTAGCATATATCAAGTAATGATTCCTGATGTTTCTTACAGCTTTACAAATGCAAACAGTGGCCTGTTTTTTTCTGTTCCATCATACAGATTTTAAACTGGTTGGTATGGGTGGGTAATGGGGATGTATGAAAGTTTTTTGATGTCATAAAATGGCAACATATTCCATAAAGCACTTCAACTCAGAAATATCTGAATTGCTTACTAACAGAACTGGAGATGATAACGGGATGAATAGAAACAGCAAAGAACCTGTTGACTAATTATCTCAATACCATCAATACATTTTAGTCCTGAGTTTACCAATATTTACAGTTTCTTGTTGCTTACTATTTAGAGTAAGTAGTTGAAATAGACACAACACAAAGTGATAAAGACCATATTAATATTTATTGTATTGTAAGATGCAAACAGCATATTGTTTGCATCGTGCAATAAATATTAATGTTTTTGATCACTTTGTGTTGTGTCTATTTGCCTGTTCTGTTCAAAAACTGTGTCTTGAGGCACTGCTGGCCCTTCAATGTCATTTATATATGCTTTGTAAGGCATAAATAGTCCTCACTTTAGATGAGGTCACATAAAACACTTTACTAACGAGTAGTAACTACCTTAATAAATCATGAATTTATCATGAATTGCAGTATTAATATGCGTTTATAAAGCATATATTAACATAGTCCCTAACCATTATATATATATATATATATATATATATATATATATATATATATAAATGCATGAATAATGTACATCTAAATAAGTTATTAATCATTTACCTAACACTTTATAAATGATCTTATTAATCATCTACAACTCCTTAATAATTGGTTTGTAAAATATATAATACTTAATTTACAAATGGGGAATCCATCATTTATAAAGTATGAAAACACAATCATGAAACATAGACGGGCTTATTAATCAAGAATAAAACATTTACAACTGTTATGAACTGCATACTAATGAATTATTAATGTAGGAACAATGCTTTATAAATGAATTAAGTGTTTACTCATACTTAACTAATGCTTCATAGTGTGTAGTTATTATAAAGTGCTACCCAGTAATCTGATCCAGGCAATGAATTCCTCAGAGAAGCCAAATTTTAGGAGGGCAGCAAATAAGTATTTCCACTCGACCCGGTCAAAGGCCTTCTCTGCATCAAGAGAAACCAATACCTCTGGGCACGTTAAGGGGGCCGAATGGACAACATTGAATAGTTTTCGTAAATTTGAGTGGGAGTGTCGGCCTTGGATAAATCCTGTTTGATCAGGTGAGACAATATCTGGGATCACACTCTCCAGGCGTTTAGCTAAGACTTTAGACAGCACTTTAAAATCCACATTAAGTAGGGAGATAGGGCGATAAGATGAGCAGAATACTGGGTCTTTATCCTTCTTAGCCAGTAGGGATATAGAGGCCTGTCTCAGAGTTATAGGAAGAATGCCTAAGGAATGTGCTTCTTTAAACATTGCTTTAAGAGTTGGTGCCAGCTGATAGGAGAACTTTTTATAAAATTCCATCGTAAACCCGTCCGGGCCTGGTGACTTGTTGTTCTGCATAGATTGTATGGCCATGATGATTTCAGCAACTGAGATATCTCCACCTAAATTGGTGTTTTGTTCCTCTGATACGGTAGAGATAGTCAAATTATCAAAGAAGGCACATGAGGGGCCGAGGTCATTGCTAAGTTCTGAGGTGTAAAGGTTAGAATAGAATTGTAAAAAGGTTTTATTTATGTCATTATGATCTATCAACGTTTCTCCTGTGTTTGATTGAATCTTTGTGATATTACGGGTGGTAGCCACTTGGCGGGCTTGCATAGCCAGTAGTCTACTAGATTTATCTCCAAATTGATACACATTATGTCTGGATTTTAAGATTAGACGTGTTGCCTCATCAGTAGATAGAAGATTAAATTCAGTTTGGAGTCTTAACCGTTCCTTATAAAGATCTGTAGTCGGGGAATGAGCATATTTAGAGTCCACATCCAGGATCTGTTGGGAAATTTCAGTCAGTTTGGAGTTTTTCTGTTTCTTGATGGTGGAGGAATAGGCTATGATTTGCCCGCGGAGGTATGCTTTAAGAGTTTCACATAATGTAGCTTGCGAGATCTCTGGGGAGGAGTTAGTCTCTAGAAAGAATTGTATTTGGGCTGAAATGAACTTCACAAAATTGTCATCTGTAAATAAGAGAGGGTTGAGTCTCCAAATTCTGTTTCCGGGTGGGCAGTTTGGGAGGTCTAAATCAAATAGAATGGCACTGTGATCCGATATGACAATATTATTATACGAGCAGGACTTAACCTTAGGCAGCAGTCTATTATCAAGTAAGAAATAGTCTATGCGGGTATAGTTATGATGCACATTTGAGAAAAAAAGAGTAAGCTCTGGTGTTGGGAAACTTAAACCTCCAAATATCTGAAAGGCCACACTTATGCATGAAATTGTTCACAACTCCAGCCGACTTGGAAAGGTTCTGAGGTTTCTGGGATGACCTATCCAAGGTGACATCCAGCACAAGATTAAAATCACCTCCTATTATAAGCAATCCATTGTCAAGCTTAGGTATTGCAAGAAATAGCTTCTCAAAAAAATTACTGTCGTCTCAGTTAGGGGCATACACGTTTACCAAAATCACAGGATTAGCCCAGAGTTGTCCAGTAACAATAACATATCTCCCGTTTGGGTCGCTAATAATCTCTTCGGGATGAAAAGAGGTTTTTTTATTAATCAATATGGCTGCCCCTCTGGCCTTTGCATTAAGTCTGGAATGGAACATCTGGCCAACCCAATTTTGCTTGAGATCAGCAACGTTGGTGTGAACTTGGTTGGGACGTTAGTCACCTTACTGGACCAACCGCTCATAGTAGTTTAAGAAGAGGGATATAGCAACAGAGTGCTGAAGGGAGGGCAGGGGGGGGAGAGAAAGCAAATTTATCTTTAGTAATTTATCTTTAGTAAAGGTCATTAGGTACCCTATAAGAGTATTGAGACCCTAAACCAAGGTGATGGCTTGATCCTCATCCGTAAATAGTTGAGTCTCAAGGTTTGTTAGATATGTTAATGCAGAACGTGGGACTGGACGGTGAATTAGTAGGAAAATATGTGTTGGTTTTGGCTTTGATGGTGTTGCCATTCTCTCCCTAGGCTGGTCTTAAATGCGTTGACTGAGGAGGCACTAACTGTTCCTTGACTCAGGCTGTTCCATACTGGTGTTGTTCTACTTGAGAAAAAGGTTTCTGTGGACCAGGCTGGTGTTGTACCTGTAGTTTCAGATCGTGACCTCTTGTATTGGTGCTGAGGGATTTTTTGAACATACTATTGCCACATACTTCACAACTTCTGTCAGACTGTACGCTGTCAATTCCTGTCAGTATTTTAAAAGTTTGGACCATGTCGGCTCGTTTACGTCGAAATTCCAGCATTTGCAAGTTGAGGCTGGCAAGTCTTTCTGGGTATGAGAAATTTGAGAGGCCGTGCACTAGTCTAGTTGCGCGTCTCTGAACTTGTTCCAGGGCATCTTTGTCCCGCTTGAGTTTGGGCAACCAGACGACAGCGTACTCGAGGTGAGGATGTATCAAGGATTTGTACAGGTGGAGAAATGATGTTTGATCCAAGGACTTGAACATGTGTTTGATTGCTCCTAACACTCGGTTGGCCTTGGATACCTGGATTTGGATGTGCCTGGAGAATGAGAGGTTGCGGTCGATAATTACACCCAAGTCTTTCTCTTCTTGTGTGATTTGAAGCTGGTGGGTTGTACCATCATTGTTCCTCATTGTGTATGTGCGTTGCGGGTTAGTGTTCCCGAGGTGCATTGTTTTGCATTTATCTGGGTGAAATAACATGCACATTGTTTGGGCCCAAGATTGGAGATGGTCCAAGTCACACTGAAGACTGGAGTGCTGCGTGTCATGTAGCTGTGATATGACTTCAAAGATCTTAGTGTCGTCGGCAAACATCAGGACAAAGTTGTTGAGGAAATCCGGTATATCAGCCACAAATAGTACAAACAGCAAAGGGCCAACTACTGAGCCTTGAGGTACCCCGCTGTTGACGCTTGCAAAATCAGAGAATTGTCCATTTACCACTACTCGTCTGCGATTGATAAGAAAGTTACGGATCCATTGAAGTATGTTGTCTTGGATGCCAAAGGTTGAAAGTTGAAGGAGAAGTCTCTCGTGTGGAACCGTATCAAAGGCCTTAGCGTAGTCTATGAAGAGAATATCGACTGGAAGCTTGTGACTAAGGGCTTCAGTCCAGATGTCGATTGCTTCCAGTAGATTAGTAACTGTTGAACTGCCGGACGTGAAGCCGTGCTGTTGCTTGCATAGAAGGTTGTTAGATTTCAGGTGCTCCCTGATGTCTTCAGCAATCAGTCTTTCCATGAGTTTGCACACTACTGACGTAGGTGAGACGGGCCTGTAGTTTGCTGGGTCAGACTTGTCGCCTTTTTTGAAGATGGGGGTTACTGTTGCCGTTTTCCACTGTACGGGTACCTCGCCGCTGGCTAGGCTTGTGTTGAACAGGCTACACAATGATTAAACAAGGATATCAGCCATTTCCTTAAGTAATCGGTTGTGGATCTGATCAGGCCCCGGGGATTCGTCTGTTCTGATGGATCTGAGCTTTTTGAGTATCCTGTCCTCTGTAATCGAAATCCGCAGGTCTGAGGTCAGCAGCTTTGCTGTGAATGTTGGCATGGTGGTGGTATCCTCTCTGGTGAAAATACCTGAGTATTGGTCGTTTAGAATATTGGCTTTGCTCTTGTCGTCGCTGTTGGAGGTTCCATCCTTGTTCTGCGGCTGTTTACATAGTTCCAGAAGGCTTTGCTGTTGGTGCGTGAGTCTTTTGCCAGCTTGTGCTCAAAGTCCCGTCTAGCCTTTCTTGCCGCATGAGTCGCCTCGTTCCTTGCTGTGATGTATGTCTGGTAGTCCTAGCCGTCTTTGGTATTTAGGTATCGTATCCAGGTGTGGTATTTTCTCTTTACATTTTGTAGAGCCTGTTTGTTCAACCACAGTGGTTTTTTCTTCCTTGTCGTGTCCAGGTTGATCGCCTTCAGGGGGATACACTTCACCATGGCATCATGGATGGTTTGTTCCAGTATGTTGGCAATTTCCTGGGTGGTTTTCCCCATTAGCTTGTCTTCCCAGTTGATGTCAAGCATAGTCTTCATAGCTGCAT